GTGATGTTATGTTTATTTGTTTGTTTATTATTATTATGCGGTATAATTATGTAATTTTAATACTGTGAAATATTACAGAATTATCTCACAAAATTTGTAATGCATAGATAACTTAGAGATTTAGACTTCTGGGTTGAAAACAGCGTGTAGTTTCGCAATTTATAATCTGTTGAGTGCATCTCGAGTGATTTCGTCATCAGAGAGTTTGCCTTCAGGTAACATCGCTGTGTGGCCTAAGCCTTAAAAACTGATATTAATATTCTTCTCATAAAAGTCAGTAGTAAATAAAAAAAAACAAAAATATGTGGTATGTATTAAATCATTTAGTTTTCCGAGTCCAAGTTACCATGGGACACAAGACTGCGTGCTTATTATAGATGTATGCATCGATCGATATAATTATGTGCTTATTGTCACCGATCGCCTACCGATAATTTATCGAACAACCTAGGTATTTAAAGTGTTACAGCCACTTTGAATATTCTACCTCTAGTTTGTTACCATTTAAAACATTATACCTAATGTAGTTTAATGATCGTGTGATTTAAAACACATATTCGAAAAAAAAAATGTTTCGCGAATATGTTAATTCTGGATTATTATTTTTTAAACAACTATCTAATAATCGATGGATTTTAATGAAGATGATATAGAAGATGAAATATAAGTTTTTTCTATATTATTAAGGCTATGATTCGTGACATCGCGCCTTTAAATTCCTATGGGGTAGGCAGAGTTGCATATAATAAGATCGAAGTTTCACCAGTTATGTTCACGTCGCGAGCATTTAGTAATTTTAATTTTCAAAATTTTTTGGAAACTGAACTTAGGTTGAAAAAATATTCCCGAAATGTTAAAAAACCGACACGAAATGATATTACATTCCACAAGACATGGAATACGGAGGAAATAGGTCTTCGCCGCTAAGTAATGGTGGTAATTTCTAAATTAGTAATATGTTCACAAATATTGACACCCACATGACGGTCTGTTGACCGAGTGCCCCATATCGGGAGCGCACAGCGCGTCCAATTTATATGAGAACAATATTTTGAGTTCGATTCTCAAATTCTCGCTAGCCCTTTCCAGGAATATGACAATTTATCCTGAAATCTTCTGCCTAGCTCAGTAGCAACTTTGGCAGAAAATACGGAACAATTATGTTTCAGTTGAAGTAGACGCGAGCTGCAGTAAAATTAAATGTATTGCCATAGCGCGTTCGCTGGGACATCACCCAAATTTTAGGGCGCGAGCTAGATAGGTACGAGTAAAAAGACACAGGTAAATAATTTTATTTAATTTACAAATTCCAAGCATTTCCTTATTAAATTACAACATAACAAGTTTATTTATCAATCCATAGAAACATTACTTGGAAGTTGCAAATAAAATATTTATTGGCACTTACCTTGAAGCAGATGAAGAGGGAAAATGGCATAGTGAGGCAGACGAGCACCCACGACAGGAACACTAGGATCTTTCCACATGTTCGACTCTCAGAGTCCGCCTCTTCGTTAACTGAAAAATACCAACCATTTTAGAAAAACAATCACAAAAAGCACAACTATGATTTTAAATCACTTTAACAATTTCCCAAAAAACTGCTCACTACTATTAGTAATCGTCGGATACAATTGCTGTCGACTCGACATTTCCATCATAATTTAGAAACATTTAGTACACGTAACCTCCATGCGCTGCCGACAAGCGTCTGGTATTTACTGGCCCTGCATGACCACTGTGCCTTATTAAACATTCACGTGGGAACCAGAAGGTGGAAACTACTACAAGTCTTTAGAAAAAAATATTAAAATAATTATAAATGATATAATAATTTTACTCACCTGGCTCGGCCACCACCACAGTGGTGGACTCTGAGTAGCGCGCCAGTTTGACGGTTTTACATGGCGATGGCGTGTTAACTGAACGAGGGCACCGAAAGGACTGATAGCAGAGAGAAAGCGATGTGGCAGGAAGAAGTAGAGCTACGAAGCAAAATAACTCCGCGGCCCGGCTACTGTGGCTTTTATATGGTCGAAAGGCCATCACTGCACTTGCGCAGGTCTTACGCGATATCATATATATGACACAGATTTCCTTTGCTCTCATTGGTCCGCTGGATTGCATTATTATGTAGAGGAGTGGAGTTTTGAGATTTTGGCTCCTCCTTCTTGTAAACTCGAAACGTTACGGATATGTAAATAATGGCAACGTTTTCACATCGTAGTAGGGGTAATACTTTGCACCTATAGTTTAAAGTAACTAGGTAAGTAAACAGTTTAACTAATGTTCAGTCTCATTGCTATTATATATTATTTATTTAAATGGAATAATGATGTATGTTTTTCCTTTGTGCTGTGAAATATGGAAAACAACCTTGAACACATATGCGATGCAAAATCGTTCGATAGTTTGACCTTTGCCGCTCTATGGTTATAGGATTATTATATTTTTTATTTCTTTAAACGTGACGTATTTGTAAATCTAAAACTTTGATGCAAATATTATGCAGAGAGTTAGCCTTTTACAGTTACACATTTTTATAACTTTTTCAACGATTTCCTTTATCATTACGAAACAAAACAAAAGGGCATAAAGTTTTTAAACGAAATCTAATTAGTTTTAGATCAATTGATATTTTAATATTTGCTCTTTTTATAGTCTAAATGAAAGCATTACATTAATAAACAATTGCCATGAACTTGAACTCTCAGGATGTGTAGGATTAATCGGGGTTATTCCCTTGTGTATTCCACCCTTCATTTCTCGCCAATAAAATGCGAATACTTACTATAACAGTCAATATTACTATTACTATAGATCTCAAAATAAACACACAGGTTTGTATTCGTAAAAACTTTTAATAAAAAGGTACAAACATGCTTTTAATTTGAATAACTTATTAAGAAATTTCTTAAATTCATTGTCAACTTACTTATACTTAAGGCAGTGTCAAATTACTTTACAATCTAGAAAAAAACTAGAACAACGTATCGTTATGAATTAAATGTGTCAATTTTGTACTTGCTGGTTTAATAAACGACGTGTTAACTATACAAAGATCTTATTTGTCTACGTGTAATATATAACTAATTTTATATTTATGTCTACTATATAATCGATTTCTTGGACAATATGATTTATTGTCAGATTTATCAGAAAGACTTATTAAAATATTCATCGCTAAATGTAAATAATACAATACAAAACCATTGCTTCTAGATATAAAAATATACAATGCGAGTTTACTTTTATTTGAAATATATGCATTTTAATAATAAC